TTCAAGAGTTCAGTCACCACCGATGAGTGGCATGGTGCATACCTCGTCGAACGATTTCAGGCTGGGCCACGGAACCGTGGCGGTTTCGAGGCTCACGCGCGAGCCGATGTTGACCCCGCGCCGGAGCTTTTCGTGGATGTCCGACAGCGAGGCCTTGTCGAGGTCCAACAGCTCTGCAACGGCGACAGAGGAGAGGCCTCGCGGTTGCAGCAGCGCATCTCCACCTGATTGGCGCCGCGTGTGGCATGAGTCCGTGTGCGGTCGAACGTGTGCGGTGGTGCATGCGTGCGTGCGTGCGATGAATGGCCGCACCTTCGATCACACGCCAGGCGGACAAGAATTCCAAGTCGTGGACCAGCGCATAGACGGCCTGACTGACGGCCGCGTCAGGCGCCTGGTCGCCGAGGTGGTGGACAGCGACCCACGCCATCGCCGTATGCGCCAGCAACCCAAACTGCACTGCCGCTTGCTCCTCTGTCGAACACAACAAAGAAGCATTATGACACACACCACACACACACGACGCACACACACGACACACGCACGCACACACACACACAACCACAAAAGACAATGGTGCACATGTGTACCATCGGTTCGGTTGTAAAACAAGTCCGCCCAGGTTGTGCGCAATTGCTCACTCCCCGTGTGGCGATGCAGCAGGGAGCCGACGGCGAAGATGGCGCACGCGCGCACCTTGTCGCTCGTCGTTGCTGGCTTGACGACGGCCTCCACGAGCGACGTGGCAAGTTTCGTGCTGTTGGGCGTGACGCGATTGATGGCCAAATGCTCGAGCAGCGCCACCTTGAGCACATCCGGCGTCTTTCCGCTCTCCTGCGCGCAAGAAAGAAAATCTCAGGAAAAAAGAAAAGAAGAAAAGAAAGAAGAAGTGAGTGGAAGGTACGACGATGGCCAAGAGGCGCGGCAGCCAGGCGGCGTAGGAATGCCGCACGAGGCCTCCCAGGCGCAGCAATTGCACCAGCTTCACCTCTCCTCGCACGTCTTCTCCGTCTTTGTCGTCGTCGTGGCCTAGGTCCTTGCTCGCCTCTCTCGCATCGGCCTGATGATGATGATGGGCGAGTCATGAATGTGGATGAGGCACCACACACGCGATCACATCAGTTGCGGAGGCCACAGCACGCGGCCACGATGAGAGAAGAGAGAAAGAGAAGAAGAGAGAGAGCACGGCTCACACGGACCCGGCGAAGGAGCGTGCCGAGAAGGAAGGGCCACAAGAGCTCAGCGCCCGTCGAGCCCAGGAGCAAGTGGGTGAAGAGCAGAAGGCCAAAGGCTTCGTCGCGCTTGGCCTCGCTCGCGCGTGGATCCACCACCAGCTGCACCCACTCTGTAGTGTACACAAGGCGTGCCCACCACGAAATAAATAAACCGTTTTTTTAATTTTAAAATTAAAAGAAATACTGATTACTAAAGTCACGAACCCCGTATGTTCGTCTTCACTGAATCACCGTATGCCTGGAAGAAAAAAAGATATAAGAAGCATTAAATGTTATGGGGGGGGGAGAAAAGGCACCCTTTGGTTGCTGTCGTCGGGGTAGGTCCCATCCTCAGCGGGTGTTGGCTCCTCAAGCACGGGAAAGGTGCGGAACATGTTGGCCGTGCGTGGTGGTTTGCAAGTTTGGGTGTGTCGACTACAATTTCGTTTTAACAACGAAACAGCTTTGTTCTTGTTTGTGAGCTTACAGGCAACCACCCCTCAACTCGGTCGTGCTTAGCCCCTGGAGACGGTCGTGGCGGTGCGAGCGGCCTGCTCGCCGCGGCCCCCTTCGTACTGGTCGATGGCCAGTTTCAGCACGCTCGGATCGTGTTTGCCCATAAGGGAGTGCACCATGCGCCCGTTCTTGATGTAGACCACGGCAGGCGTCTCCTGCACGTTGTACATGGCCGCTACATCCTGCATCAACCCCCCCCCCAATGGTCAGCAGTCAAGCTGAAGAAGATGGTGTGCAGAAGGAGGAGGAAACGTAAAACGTACGGTGAGCATGTCCACGTTGACCTTCAAGAAGATGACATTGGGCCGCTTGCTACTTTCCTCCTCCAGCTTGGGGAAGATGCGCTTGGACTCGGGGCTGCGCGACTTGAAGAACTCGAGCACCACCTTTGGCCTCAATGATTGAGTTTCAGAGCGAGTGGCACCACATGCGCGAGAAACGAGGAAGTGAACACACATACCAGCTTGTTGCCCGCCTTTTGCAGCTCCTGGTCGAGCTCGCGCTTGGAGTTGATCTGTCTAACCATGGCGTGCGGTGTTGTTTCGACTTAAGTTGGATTGTTAGGTGTATTGAGCCGGTTCCTCTTCTTCTCGTCCGGGTTCATCCGGTGCACCTACAGGAGTCCCGAA